TTTTTTTTTTTAACTTACTGCAATATCTCATTCAAAGTTTGCCCTACATTAGAATAATACTTTACCCAAATACACCTGAGGAAAAGAAGAGCACGTTTACAAGCAGACAATGGTGTTCCAAATCCTTTCTGTTCATGCTGCTTTCTTGGTTTCTTTCTCCATGTCATCGAGGTCGGATAACTCATTTCTAAGCTCAAAGGTAAAAATCATGGCATTTTAATTTTTTTCAACACAGATCTCAAAAAATTGCCATTGAATAAGTAGCATGATCCTAAATGTACTGGTGAAATTAGGCAGCCCTGTCAGCTGGTCTCCCTGGAGCGCCAGTCTTCACGCCTCTTTATTATTCCTCAGCACTCGCCCCAAACTGAACAGACGGGGAGTGGTCTTGATTGACAAGATAAAACTGGTGAAGAAAGCTAAATGCTGAGAGAATGAGCATCTATTGTCATGTTTAAGCTTAGCTGGGTCCTTTCAAGTTTGTTTTTACAGCTTACTAGGTTAAGTAGTTTGCACTATTTTTGCAATAAATTCATGGAAAACCTAACAGTTACTTGTTTTGTTTCTTACTGTGTGTATATAAACTAATACTAAAAGTTTGGCATAGTGTTTTTTCACCTCCTTACATAACCCCTAACATGCACAGAATGCTGTAAATCTGATGAAATATGATGTGAATGATATTTTATAAAGTTATTTTGTATGGTGTCAATTTTGTTTTGCCTCATAGTATGTCGCAAAAAATAAAATTAAGTTCCTCGTATTTACAGCTGCCTCTTCCAAACATACTTATTTGAGCACTTCTTTCGGCACAGGTCAGAGTCCAGGTGTGCGAGGTAGGAGCATGTCCCCAGCGACGGAGGTCCAGAGCCCCACTCCACACACAGCAGGGCTGTGTCTTGAAGGATGCACTCAGCAGAGCTAGGCGCTGCCTGAGAATTTGGCACGAGTCGGACAGGAGTGGGATCACTGAGGTATCTCGGATAGTTGGGTGTTTCTACCCTAGCAGCCAGGAGGGAAGATGAAGTAAAAAACCATTCACTGAGCCCCAGTCAGTGCACAGCCCCAAGCTGGCCACGTCCTGGTTCTCAGCCTGGTGGTCACTTAGCCCCTCCACCGGGGCTAGGTTTACACACGTGGGCCTGCTCTGAAATTGCTGGTGGCCTCACTCTGATGGGGCTGTTTTTGACTTCTGCTATGTGTCCTGGAAAGAATACATGCTGCAGGGAAAAGAAGGGAGGGTTGGATTAAGAAAGCCAGAGAAATGGCAGAAAACCCTTAGGATGTACATTGTTGCTAAAGCAGGCCAGCCAAGGTTTTGTTCTCATTTAAAGCTATTTTCTGATTTTTAAGAATAATATGTATTTGTTACAGAAAATAATGAAAATTCAGATGAAGATGAAAATTTCAAATTATCTGTAATCACACTAATAGGTAATTAACTGTCTATTAATGGTCTATTTTGTTCCAGAATCTTTATTTTTTAACAAAATCAAGCTGTGCTTATTTCTTAATGTATCTAGAACCCTGTACTTCTTAGTACCTAAAACCACAAAGCACCTTTGTGCCTACTAGCCCTGGGACATACACTAGTCACAACTGGAAGAATATATAGAAACCGATGAGATCTACAACAATATACTCAATACAGTCTATCTTTATTATATTCTCCCTATTTCACCACCATTTATTGAATGGCCAGAAGCAGTCAAGGTCTGATTGGAAGGACTTAAACATAGAAGCAGTGTTTGACGGTAAGTGTTGTATGAATTAGGAGAGGATTCCAGATAATACCTACTTGATCGGAGATTTGAGATGGATGTTTATGCTCCATATAGGATAAGGAGCCCCTATCAGCAGGAAAGGAAGGGTGATGGAGGAAAGTGGTAGGATATAGCGTGAGGTCAATGTCAAGGGCCTTGAATGCCAAGTTAACAATTTACCCTATGGACAGCGCTCAGACACTGCACTTTTCAAAGCTGCATGGTCCGGTGAAGAGTCCAGTCTGGGATTTGAATCCCAGTTTCACCACTTCCTAGGTATGTCTTGGACTAGTTCCTTAATCTGAGATTCCATTCCTTTCTCTGTAAAATGTGGTTATTTACTTTGCAAGTTGTGAGGATTCAGGGAAAATATACACAATGCACATAGACAGGGCTCAGCCCCCACTGACTACTCAAAATATCAGCTATTTTTTAACACTAGTAACCAGGAAAAGGAGATGAATCTTCACAAAATCATTTTGATAATCTGATAGCAGTAAGCAAGATGTTAAGGAAATGAGTTAGGAAGCTACTGTAAAGTCTAGCACGTGGTTCAAGGAGGAACCAGAAAAGATAAGTGCTCCCTAAATGATTGGATCTGAAGTGCTTATGGTGGGTTAAAGATGTTTCAGCTGGTTAAACACAGAAACCAGTTAATATTTTTCCTGGGGATTGCTTAAACAACATCACTATACTTAAGGCACAGATACTGAGGCCAAGCACAGCACTTCAAAATGAATGACACAGGAGAACTTTGTGTGATTGGGTCTGGTTGATGAGTTTTTAGATATGACACAAAAAGCACGGTCCATGAAAGAAGAAATTGATAAACTGGACTTCCTCCACTTTAAGACCTGCTCTTCAAAAGATGCTATTAAGAGAATGAAAAGACAAGCTCACAGGCTGGGAGAAAATGTTCACAAATCATGCATCTGGCAAAGGACTTGCATTCAGAATATATAAAACTCAAAACAACAAAAACTGATACCAAGTTTTGTGGAGCAACTGGAACTCATTCACTGCTGGTAGGAATGCAAAATGGCAGAGTCACTTTGCAAAACAGCACTTTCTTATAAACTTAAATATACAATTCCACTCATAAGTATATACCCAAGTGTAATGAAATCCTATATTCACATAAAACCTGTGCACAAATGTTGATAAGGCTTTATTTGTAATCATCAAAACTTGAAATAGGCCAGACACAGTGGGAGGTCATGGCAGGAGGATTGCTTGGGGCCAGGAGTTCAAGACAAGCCTGGGCAATATAGCAAGACCCCGTCTCTACAAAAAACAGAAAAATTAGCTGGGCGTGGTGGCACACACCTGTAGTCCCAGCTATTCTGGAGGCTGAGGCAGGAGGATTGCTTGAGCCCAGGTGTTGGAGGTTGCAGTGAGCTATAATGACACCACTGCACTCTACCCAGAGTGACAGAGTGAGGCTGTCTAAAAAAAAAAAAAAAAAAAGGCAGGAAACAATCTAAATAATTATCCAGGTAGGAAATGGATAAACAAACTGGTATATCCATACAATGGTATCTTAGCAGCAATGAAAAGGAAGGGACTACTGATACCTGCAACATGGATTAACACCAAATGCATTACGCTAAATAGAAAAATAATAGACTCAAATGCTACATACTGTTTGAGTCCATTTATATGACATTCTGGAAAAGACAGGGGTCAGCAAACTATGGTCTGTGAGCCAAATCCAGTCCTGTTTTTGCACAGTATGTAAGCTAAGAAGAATTTACATTCTTAAATGGCTGGAGAAAATCAAGAATATTCATGATACATGAAAATTATACAAAATTCAAATTTCAGTTTCCAGAAATAAAGCTTTATTGAAATACAGCCACACTTACTCCTTTACACATATTATCCATGGCTGGTCTTGTACAACAATGGCAGTTTAGTAGTTTCAACAGATTAGCACAGGAAGCTTAAAACTCCTGCTATAGGGACAGAGTATAACTCAGTGGTTGCCGGGGTAAAAGGTGGGGATGGATTTGACCATAAGGGAATTTTTCTGGAACAACTGTGGTATCTTTTTTTTTTTTTTTTTTTTTGAGACAGAGTCTCACTGTGTTGCCCGGGCTAGAGTGCCGTGGCGTCAGCCTAGCTCACAGCAACCTCAAACTCCTGGGCTCAAGCAATCCTCCTGCCTCAGCCTCCCGAGTAGCTGGGACTACAGGCATGCGCCACCATGCCTGGCTAATTTTTTCTATATATTTTTAGTTGTCCAATTAATTTATTTCTATTTTTAGGTAGAGACGGGGTCTCGCTCTTGCTCAGGATAGTTTCGAACTCTGAGCTCAAACAATCCAGCCGCCTTGGCCTCCCAGAGAGCTAGCATTACAGGCGTGAGTCCCCGCACCCGGCCTGAACTATGGTATCTTAATTGTGGCTGCATGAGTATATCTGCCCAAACTCAGGACTACACACTAAAAAGTGGATTCTAATATATTTTATTTTAAAATAATTTTTAATAGACAAGAGGGACAGAAAACAGCACTGGTTGCCACAGGTGGGGAAGAGACCAACTTCAAGGGTGCAAGAGGGAATATTTTGGATGATAGAATTGTTCTGCATATTGACTGGTTACAAAGCATCTGTCAAAATTGAGTTTGAACACTAAAAAGGGTAATTTACTGGATGTAAATTATAACTCATTTTTTTAAAAAAGATATTAAAAAGATAGGAGCCAAACTTTTACCCCATGTAGGGGAAAAAATAGGCTTATGGTTTTCTCTTGTAGACAATAGAAGGATTTAAAGCAAATAATAGTAAGATGAGAGATATCTTCAATATACAAATGTTTTTTAAGAATATTCTTATGCAGAGGAAATACTTATTTTTCTATTTGATTTGGTAATTTTGACTTGGAATTTTCCTTTGCAAATAAAAGTGTGAGAAACGCTTATTTTTAAATTTCACAAAATTCTCAGGCAGTAAGCAAAACATTTAAAAAAGAGGACTCTAAAACTAGTTCCATAAAGCATTTTTGTAAAAATATGTACAGATCTTTAATAGAAAAAGGAAAAGTATATTTCTTTACAGTAAAAAAATATTTGAATAATCAAATTCTTGTAAAATACAAAAATTCAAATGTAACATACTACCTATAAACTACAAATTTAGCTAAAACTGAATCTAGTTGTTTATAAGAATTCCAAAATATACACATATGAATTTACACAACTGATATTTAGAAGCTCCTCAAAATCTATTTGTAAATCAAAAAATGAAGCAAAACCATCTTTGCCTCTACAGTTTGGAGCATCAGCAGGTCAACCAGCAGTGCCTGACTGTGCTGGCACCTTTTTTGGTGACCTCTCACTGCAGTGTGGGCCTGCAACGAGACTGCTGCCTGGATTACTTTCCCTTTGGCTGTTTATGGCGTAGGTGCGTGGGATGCTCATCTTAGCCAGGAAAGAATACAACAAACCGGAAGTCTCTAAGGCACAACAGTGCTACGCTTCGGTGCTAATCCAGGAGGCTCCTCACCAGGTTGACTTTTAAAGCACTTGTTTGGTTTAGGATTCAGCTTCATCCTCATCATTTTGATCATCGTTGTCATTCTCCTCCTCATCATCTTCTTCCCTCTTTTCCTCTTTTAGCATTTTCAGGTATTTACTAGCTAAAATCTTCTTTGGTAATATATCTTAAAAACATAAAGCTCACATCAACAATTGGTTGTGGCAGACTATGAATATAGCAATGCAAATTTCACAATGTACTAGTTCCTGCTTTAATCTCTTATAACAGGTTCCAAAACAAGACAAAATTCAGGCTATGTTGCTGGGTGAAATATCAGAGAAACCAGCATTGTCTCCTAATGCTATGGACCTGTTCCCATTCCACTGACCACAAACCATGGTGCCCTATGCCTGCAGTCCCAAACCCCCAGGACTTGGACCGTTAGGACCGGGCTGCAGAGCTCCTCCACCCCTCCACCCCCAGCAGTGGAAAAATTGTCTTCCATGAAACTTAGGTGGGGAGGGCACAGCAGGAGGTGAGCTTCATTCCCCATCGCTGGCATCACTGCCTGAGCTCCACTGCCCCCAGCCCCCCTCAGTCCGTGGAAAAATGGTCCCTGGTGCCATAAAGGTTGGGGACCGCTGCTCTATACAATATTTTTGTGAACAACACTCCCCAACCTGAGATAGGCTGGGCTGCCCCATGGGTAGACTTAAGCTCTTTTTAGCTGTGGGCCTGTTTCCACAGCAGCAAATATTAGTTTCTGTTTCTGGGGCCTAGTAGACTGGCCCTGAGTGTTCCCTTCAGTGGCAGGGAGAGTCCTGAAGGGGACGGGGGCTGCCCACCTCACCCAGCCAACCACAACACCTTGTGCATGTTGTTGACTTCATTATTCTAGGGGGACCACGTTACAAAATTCAAACAGAGATTAAAAATATCTTCCTGTGCCAGGCCGAGGTAAACTTTGGCACCTGGAGAAAGCAGCAAAATGTCTCATTCAGTGAAAGGAGAACAGGAAAAGGAAAAAAAAAAAAAAAGCTGTAGTAACTATGTTTTTAACCAGAATGTTTCAAACACTAAGTACCTGCAAGAAACTGAAAAGTTTCGGATTCCTCTGCAGTATTTGCTAAATCACTGTAAGTCAGTGCTTTCTTTTCCCTTCCACTGCCATGTCTGTAGGAATAGGAGGCTAGATATTGAACAAAGAGTTCCTAAAACAAAATGAAAAAATAAAATGAAAGATGTGCTTTAAAAACTTACCATAAAGCTTAATTTTTAAAATTACATTAAGTTTATAAGCTTATATTAAGTTTAAAATTACATCAAGGCTTCAGATTATCTTGGTTTTTCAAATTAAATTACAAGAAATGACTGGGAAAAGGAAAAACATGCGGTCAGAAAGAAAGCAAGGCCATACCAAAACTGGCGGGGAAGCAGGCATTTTCCAGAGGCTTATTTTAGATATCTAACTTATGAGAAATATTTAAGTGATTAAAAAATGAATCATAACTGTTTAATGACCAACCTCTACAGTAAAAGAAGGGGGCAAAAGACCATTCAAAAATTCTATTTGGCTCAGGAATACATGTGAATGTATTCTATTTGAATACACTGTTTCTAAGGTGGTTCACCTACAACTACACTACAGTGGACAACCTGAAGCTGAAAACTGACATTTGCCATTTTGCCCACTTTTCTATGCTGGGAACTAACATACAATCCTTAGACTGACCTAAAGAAACAACCTAAACTGAGCCTCTGTCTTTCTCAAGGTTTTGACTTTAACCCATTTAGTTTAATTAATAAGGGATTAGAGAGGTGCCTGCATAAATCTTAGTTCCTTAATCCTAACAGAATGAAATTGTACAGGAAAACACAAATGTCCCCACATCACATGCTGAGTAAGCGATTATTTCCCTGGGCTCTAAGAAAGCATAGCTCTGGCATAAAGCAGGCAAGAAATCTGCCGTTTCCCCTTTTTCTCAGCTCTAGTCCAACATACTGTAGGGACACTATGTACCGAACAAGTGGAGACTGGAAAACAGAATCTAAGGAAAGTTAAAGCATTTAAATGTGTAGCTTAAACATGACCCTATCTCAGAACAAGAAAGTTTCTGGCTCACCACTATCAAAACTAAATAAAAAATGACAAATTTATCTATTTCGCACCCAGAAAGGGGCTGATACAGTTGTAAAACTAAGTTCCCTGGAATTACTTAAATTCTGGCTAGGGGATGTACTGCCAGGTTCGGAGGGCGGGCGGGTTCGAAAGTCCTGGAACCCCAGAGCCTGCGGGAAGACAGCCCCGAGCTGCGGGGGAAGCACCCGGCCGCCTTCAGAGACCCCGGGCCCGCCGACCAAAGGGGCGTGCTGGCCCTCCCACGAGGCACTGGAGGAGTTAGAGCCCCCAAACCATGAGGCAGGCTAGTAGCTATAAAATGGAAGGCTTTGCGACCTGAAGTAGGGGAACGAAGGTGGAGACACCACCAAAGACCAAAAGAGGCACGAGGCACCGTGCGCCGCCGCCCACGGAACACGCAGGGCCGCGGGCCGGCGCAAGGGAAGACGGGAGCGGACCGGTGGGCGGGGCGAGGCTGCGAAAGGAAAGACGGAAGTGGGCCGGTGGCCTGGGAAAAGGCGCGCGCAGGCGCGTGGCGCGTGCTGGCGTGGGCGTGGGCAGCGAGGCGCGCGCAAGAGCCCGCCAAGGGTAGCCGGCGGCGCGCAGGCCGAAGGAGACTGGGCAGCGCCCGAGCCCACGGGGCGGGGCGAGGCGCAAAGGTTAAGGGCGGCCCCACCCCCGCCCCTCTCCCCTGCCCGCGCGGGGGGCCCGCTCACCGTGGCCTTGGCCGTGAGCACCAGTGCCTCCTGGTTGATGCTGGACACCTCGGGGGAGCTCTTCATAATGACCCGGATGCGCGACAGGGGCAGCGAGACGAGCCGCTGCTCCCCGCACTTGTCCTTGCCCACGACCACATCCGCCATCTTTCCGCCCCCCCGCCCCGCGGCGGCAGCCAGGGCCGGAGCGCGAGCCGGTGGCCCGACCCGTCGGCCGGCGCGGGGAACCGGCGTCCCGCTGCCCCGTGGGAGTTGTAGTGTGGGGAGGCGCGGCAGCGAGCCGGGCGCGGCCCTTCCGGGGGACCACAAGCCCCGTGATGCCCCGCGCTCTGCCCTCCGGGCCTGCGCCGCCCCGCCCAAGTGTGCGGGCGTCCCCGTGGGGCCTGCGGGGAACCTCATAGGGATGGGGCGCGGCTGCAGCGGGGATCCTTTCCTTGGTGTGCGAGGGTAGGCGGTAGAGATTTTTTTTTTTTTTTTTTTTTTTGAGGCAGGGTCTGGTTCTGTCTCCCAGGCTAGAGCAAAGTGGCATCATTATAGCTCACAACTTCCAACTCCTGGCTCAAGTGGTCCTCCTGCCTCAGCCTCCCAGGAGCTGTGACTACAGGCGCGCACCACCACGCCTAGCAAATTTAAAAAATTTTTTGTAGAGTCGGGATCTCACTGTGTTGTTCAGGCTGGTATCAAACTCCCGGCCTCAAGGCACCTTCCTGCCTCTGCCTCCCAAAGTGCTAGGATTAGAAATGGGCTTTTTGAACAGTGGGTGAGCGTTCTACCAATAGGCCAGGAAAGGTTTCAAACTCCGAGCCTTGTCACTCTGTAATTGCGGATCAAGTGCCTGCTCTTCCAGGACTGGGAATGCAGAGAACAAAAAGTAACGCCTTCTTGAAGCTCACGTTCTAGACGGGAAGACAAAATAAACAAGTAAATATATACTACACTGTCTAGTGGTCAGACATACGGGGAAGGAAAATAAAGCAGTGTGGGAAGATACAGAGCAATGGGGGCTCACTGTTTTAGCCAGGGTGGTAGGAAAGAGAAAATAAGCCTTACATCTGAGGACACGTTTTCTTGGGAGAGGGAACTACAGATGCAAAGGTCCTGAGGCCTAGTGGGAACAGCCTTTTCAGGGAAGACCAGTGTGAGGAGCCAGGTGTGCTAGATGAGGTCTGAGAGGCAGCCAGGGCTGGGACTTGTTGGATTTTTTCCTAAGAAAAATGGACAGTGGTTGAAGGGTTTCAGCAAAGGAGTCATGAACTGTGTCTTCAGTTTGAAAAAGATCCCTCTGGCTGCTGCTTGTGAAGCGGGGTAGAAGTAGAGAGCCAGGTAGAAGGTGATTGATTGTAAGAACGCAGGCAGGTGGTGATCAGGAGGCCAGTGGGGCTAAAGTGAAACTAGCTAAAAAAAGCATGACAGGAGGTAGCCAGATCAAGTGGGGCCTTGGAGACCATAGAATTCTTTCCAAACGAGTGGAGAGGCCTTTGGAAGGGTAAGGTGGTTCAACTTAACTTTTCCAAGGATCATGGGAAGTGGTAGGATTTGGGACTTCATTTGAACGCAGAGCCGACAGGACTTGCTGATGTGCCATGGAATACCAGCAAAATTTACTGAGATATCAGAAATAGCCCAGTAAAGAGTCTTCTACCGAGATGGGCCACACCATGGGAGGAGCAAATGTGGCAGGGGTTTGGGTTGGCGCGTGTTAGGTTTCAATGTCTTCTTCATCACTGTGATCTCAGGTCCTGGCCCCAATAACTGAGGACAGAAATACGCGTTGGACACTACTAGGCACAAGGGTACAGCTGGTGAGCAGGACTTTCACAGTGCTCTCATGGTACTTACTTCCAAGTCTGAGGGAGAACAAAAAATAAATAAGAACATCTCCAACAGTAAGAGCTATGAAGAAAACAAAACCATGTGAGTGTGGTAGGAGAACCTCTTTGAGAAGTGACATTTGCAGTCAGATCTGAAGAAAGAAAAGGAGCCAGCAATGCAAAAAGGCTAGGACAAGATTAACTTTCTGAACAAGACAGCCTGTGGGAAGAACACCGGAGGAGGAAGATGTCTTGGCGACTGGAGGAACCAAAAGACCAGTGTCGCTGGAGCTTAGTGAGACAGAGAGCACAGGAGATGTGGTTACCAAGGTAGGTGGCACCAGCTCAGGCAGGTGGGTAAGAAGTTTGGCTTTCATTCTGAGGGCAGTGGAAAACCATGAAGAGTTTTAAAGTAAGAGTTTTAAGATCCACTTAAAAGCCCACACTAGTTGGCTAGTAATGACTAAATGGTACCATGCCCTGTGGAAATTAGACGTCTCTGGGTTTGCAGAGGCAGGGGGTGCTGCTTCAGTCTCAGCGTTCTGCTCTTTCCCTCCCAACCTTTCCTCTGTAAGTGGGAAAGCCTTTGACTTTCACAAAAGACAAGGGCAATGAACTGCCCAACAAAAAACAGCTATGTAATAGGATCCTTTGGTTCACACGAGAAACAAGCTCTAATGTTGACATACTTTGAAGCTTTGAGATGTCTTGGTTCCTTAGCTAGCTATTGTTTTTGTATGGTTTATCTTTCTCTTTTGAATATGTTTGAGAGCAGGATGGGTTAAGATTAGGAAAGATAACAGAAGAAGGCGGCATCTGGAAAGTAAAAGGAACAAAACCAAAAGAAGTGAGGTTATAGGATTGGCAGGTGATGTGTGCAGTCATTAATCATTTGAGAAGTAGGGAGAGGAGCAAAGCAGGAACTCTTCAGGCTGGAAAAGAGGGAAAGTGCTCACAGCTTAAAGAAGAAAACCAATTTCAAACCTAAGACAACAGGAGAACTAAAGACTCCATTATCCTTGAGAACTCCCCTGCGCTGGAAAAAGCACAACGAGTTAGTATCATTCTGTCGTTAGCTCTTTTGTCTGTTAGCTCACTTTATCTTGCCAGCGATGCCTCTCTCTGCGCCATTCTTGTCTGTATCCCAGGGTGCTACCAGGCACATGACTACACTTCCGCGAATCCCCTGCCAATGGGAGGCACCTGTGAGAGGTTGCAATGGGGCGGGAGGAGGAAGCCTTATCTGCTGTGGTGGCACTGGCTGCAGCATGGTGACGGCAGAGGGTTACAGAGAGTGGCACCAGCACAGGTAATGGTTTGAGCAACTTCACCCTGGGTTTCTGTGCAGCGGCAGCACCTGGAGCAGTTACGTGGCGAGTGCGGACTTCTGGGCTCCAGGCCAGGGGCGGTCTCAGCTTCCTGATCTCC